CCCCCCCCCCCCCCCCAAGCAGGTGAGACCACCGGAAGGAGAGTCCGGAATTTGCCAGCCACCTGTTTCTCTGATTAGAGGCTTATCTGCGACTATCGGCCTCTTATCTCACGGCGAGCGGTGGGAAGAGGAAGTGGGCAATGGAACATCAGAGCAGTCGCAGGGTGACAGTCCAAGGATGGTTGAGTAGCACAGCCAGTGCAGGATGTACGTGAAGTTTTCGAGTATCTCTTCGGGAATCTCAAATGGGCATAAAACAAGCGGCTGTACCCGTCGTAGCAAACTGCACATAACAGAACTGGATGACAGGAAAGTGGAGAGTTGAGATTGGCTCGAAAGAGTTGGAAGTGGTAATAGGTCCAAACAGGGCCCCGCGTCTTTGTCTGGTGATTCCGTCTCTTCCAGCTGTGACTTAGCATGCTGTTTGATAAATTCTGCACGCTGCGCTAGCAGAACAAATGTATGACCTCCATGTGGGTTCGTGTCGGACAGGTTGTGTGGTCCATGCAGAAAGCGCCAGATATATTTTGCGCTTAACAAGTTCTTCTCCTTGGGCCCGCTCAGATGATACCATCTCTGGACCTTTTTTTTTTGGGTATAGCTTCTCCTGCAGCAGAGAGCACAGGCGGAGAACGAGGGAGGAGGGTACAGAACGGGAGACTGGCGTCGATGACTCTCTCTCTCTCTCTCTCTCTCTCTCTCTCTCTCTCTCTCTCTCTCTTTGGTACATGTGCTTCTTGGTGGTGGTTGTCTTCGTTGTCCTCCTCCTCCTCCTCCTACTTGTGGTCCTGGTGCGGCTGCTCCTTCCCTGCGTCCTGATATAGACTGATCTGCTGTCGTTATATTTTTGGCAGGGGTTGCATGAATGAGTGTGTGCTGTCACTTCTGCTGTGTTATGATCAAACACGTGTTTGACTCGACAAAAATGATGTCCTTGTGGTTGATTTGGTGTTTGGCTTTTGCAGTCGGTATCAGAATCGCAGCCCATCAAGGTCAACGTCGAGATCTCGGAGCCCAGCACGTGGACGTAGCAGAAGCCCTCGTAAAAGCTACAGTCGCAGTCGCAGTAGAAGCTACAGGTTCGTTTTGTCCTTCTCACCACTACTGTTGAGTACACGACATTGTACCCATGCTCTCTAAGATCAACCCTTTTCTCCCTGTTTGCTTCTCTCTTCTTTCTTCTTGTGTGTGTGTTTTGGTTGGGGGCGGGGTGGAAGGAGGTGAGTGTCTGAGTACAATGCCATGGCCTGTCTGAGTACAATGCCATGGCCGGTCTTCATATCCCAAGAGCCCTGAATAGCAGTATGCATGCCCCGGGTTACCCGTAGTACGAGAGCGACATCCTATTCTGGATTGAAAGAAGGTAAAAAAAAAAAAGAAGAAAGAAAAGAAAAATTGGCATTCTCTCCTGATTTCCTCCAAGCCAAGCTAAGCTGCAAAACCTCATACAGTGAACTTGTAAAGAGTCTAAAGACTGAAAGCGCAGCGCTGTATAAGCTGGATGTGTGAGTATAAAAAGCGTTGGAAAGGGGGTGAAGGTCAAAAGGTTTTGCGGTCGTCAAGGTTGTGGGAAGTGACTACCGGTCTTCACCCGAATCAATCCTCCGGGTCATTATCGCTGCATTTGGTTGGAAAGTTGGCCCGAATACAGCTATAAATACTGGGTGTTTTGTTCGGGTGAAGGCGGTAGGGTCTGTAAACAAGGGGTAGGTTGGCTGTCGAAGGACTGTGACGTGGGGTGTGTAGAGATAGGCCTGTTGTTTCTGTTCTTCACTTGCGTAACTGTGCTTTTTTGACAGGAGCTCAGGCGAAGGCTCCCCGCTGCCTTTTGCTACCTCCACCTGCGCGGCTTAGTGCATGCCTTTGTACTTGTCGGCACAGTCCCGTCGGTCCTGAGGGGGACCTAGGGCTGTTCTTCGCCTATCCAAATGGCATCTAAAGCCACCAAGGGTATTACGATACCCCCCTTTAGCTCTCATTTTCTCTCTTGAACTTGCTTGCAGGCGAATAGCAATGGGAATGCCTGCCCCTGCCCCTCCAGAATAGGAACAAGGCTTTTCGTGTGTGGTGTGTGAACAAAAAAAACAGAAAAAAAAAAAAGAAAAAAGTTTAAAGTTTACTATTTTACTAATTTTATTTTAGTTATCTTGTGTGGTGGAGAAGAGGAGGTAGCTGCCAATTTGTGGACCCCATACTTCGGAATCGTCAACGCATTCATGCGTCAAAACTTCAAAAGGCCTCTCACCTAACCCGCCGTGGTTTATTTTCACTGACCCTTTTTTTCGTCAGTGTACCGTGAGACTTCTCGAGCGCCTTAAGCTATCGTCATTTGATCCCATCTCAGGCGTGTTAATCAACAGTGCCTTGAGTGTACCGATGAGCCACACGGGTCGGTTCCAGTGCCTTTTCCAACTTAGTCTCTGGATTAGTTAACGAACTCCTTGCTGCGGCGCACTTCTGTTGCTGTGCGTCTTCTCCTAGGATGCATGGAAGGCATTCTTGTTTTCTGCAGGATGTAGTCAAGTACTAGGGACAAGTGCCTTGTTGTGCCTCAAGCTACCGTCATTTTTTTTTTTATTTTTTTTTTTCACGAAGGTGACGAGCGTTGAGATATCATCATTGAACTGACGGACCCTAATCTAACTGTGGATTTTTTTTTCCCGATTTTAAAATTTTACTCGTCTGTTTCCAGTGGAGTTTGGACCCAGGTCTGTATTTTAACCCTTCAGGGGTGTACCAACTGAGCTTGGCCAGTTGCTCAGTTGGTTCATCATCGCTGTGCTTTTTTCTTACATCATTGTGCTTTTTTTTTGGGGGGGGGGGAGGAGTTTGTATTTTTCTTGCTGAGTTATGAAGAGGCTGAGAGATGCGGCGTCGTGTTTTCGGCGTGTGTGTGCTGACAATGCGTTCAATGATTGGTTGAAATGGAATATTAACAGTCGCGGAAGGCACCCGCCAAGGGGTCACAGTGGGGGAAAGGACGAGAGGCAGAAGAGCTATCCTGATAGCCGACGTGTGAGCCGTAGCCCACCAAGGAGTGGCAGTCCTGGCGATAGCCGCAGGATGAGCAACAGTCGCGCCGCAGCAGCTGTTGGATCGAGAGGCGGGAATGATGGAAAGTACAGCAACTTCGATCACGAGCGCGGGCACAATAGCCGGAGTCGAGGGCAAAGTTCACCAGGTGCAGGCCCTCCGCCAAGGTCGCGGAGCATCAGCAGCAGCCCGGGCCGGCACCGAAGCCCCAGCTCCCGGCGCCAAAGTCCCATGAGGAATCCCGGTGGTGGTCGGGGCAGGAGCAGCCCTGTGCCTCAGTGTAATGGGAGATCAAACAGTCCTGCCAATGGTGGAGGCATCACGAGGGACAACTGAGCGAGAGGGGTCCAGTTCCTTGCCCTGGAATGATAGTTACCCTGCGAGGGATGCATTGAGATGCTTTGATCATGACAAACCAATGGTAGGTTATGTGAGAGGTGGATAGGATTCCAAGGTATGCGTAGATGCATAAGTTGCTTCTGCTGTTTGAAATCCAGCCCTCCGACAACTCACAAATTGCTGCGACTCCTCACACCCGAGCCAGTCGAGCATTTGTGGTGTGTGTGTGTGTGTGTGTGTGTGTGTGTGTGTGTGTGTGTGTGTGTGTGAGAGAGAGAGAAGACGTAAACAGGAACCTTTTTGTGAACATCTTGGCATGGTAGGTAGGGCATTAAAAAAGGACTGGAGGTTGGAGGAGACAAGTGAGGGACAAAGAGCAGCAGAAGAGAGAGAGAGAGAGAGAGAGAGAGAGAGAGAGAGAGAGAGAGAGAGAGAGAGAGAGAGAGAGAGAGAGAGAGATGGAGCCAAGATGCTCAGACCTATGTTGCTAGTATTTGTTTTGTGGCTGAAAAGGGGGTTTTCAGGAGCCGTTCAGGCAAAATTTAGATCTCAATGCTGTGAACTTGTATCGTGGATATCGTACAGATGCCTTGGAAACACTGGGCTCAGGAAGGATGTGTATGTGCAATTAGGGGATTGGCAAGGTGCGAAGTCATGATCTTCTATTTGCACTGGTTGAAGAGTGTGCTGCCGGTAGGTAAAGCTAAGATTAAGCAATTTCAATTTCAGTCCGTTTTTCATGAGTAGTACTGGTAGCACAGTACCGGAGTAAGAAATGAGACAATACGCATCACATGCTTTGCGCCGCCACAGTTTCAGTGATTATTATTGTGGCTGGGACGCCGTCTCATCCAGCGCCCAGCGAACTTATCATTCTTCTCAGTGATTCTGCATCTGGTCTTTTTTAGGCTTATCATTCCTCTCAGTGATTTCTTGCATCTGGTCGTTTTTAAGGGACGGGCCCCACTATACTATGTCACTTGGAGATCGTAAGATTCGGTAAGAATCAACTTCGCATGGCATGCGTTGGACTTGGAAAGCCTTTTGTTTCTTTCTTTCTCTCTCTCTCTCTCTCTCTCTCTCTCTCTCTCTCTCTCTCTCTCTCTCTCTCTCTCTCTCCCCTCCGATCTATTTGTGGGGACCCGGAAAGCGTATCCAGCGACAAGCTCAGTGAGGCCTCTGCCAGTTAGGCATGAGACAGACTGCCGTAGACTTGTAGCTTTGTTCTGCTGGGCGGCGCGTTGCATGCAGAGAATGCGATATGATATGAAACTCTGGAGCCAGCATTCAGAAGCCTGAGGTTGTAGAGATCTGCCCAAGTATAACTTCACCGGTGGTTTTCTCCTGGAGTCGATCATACTGGATTGTGTGCAAGAGAGCTCCCTCGCGATTGCTATATTGTCACTGGGGTAGGGGTGTTTTAGGAGAGGAGAGATGGAGAAGCATAGATGTGCCCGAAGCATAGATGTGCCCTGCACAGGGGCTGAGTTAGGACGGAGCAATTTAGAAAGCTGGAGAAGGGTGGGTTGGGGGGGGGGGGGGGGGGGGGGGGGGGGGGGGGGCGGCGGCGTGGAGGAAACGGGAGAGGAGGATCATTCAAAAAAGTTTATCGTATGTTCTGATGAACTCTCTCTCTGTCTGAGGAGGCAACAGCAGAATGCGCAGTGCAGAACTGCTTTGTCTGTGTGATTTGCAGTGATCCGCCGAACTTGCATTGTGCTCGTTTGCGGCATTCTATGCAGCAAGGCGACTGAAGTCAGTTCCGTTGCAGCGGGCTGTGTAAAAGGAGAGTACTGTTTCAGAGGAGGAGGATTCGCTTTCCTTGAGGTTCTCTCTGCTGGTTTGTACCATTACTTTTTCAATGATTTTCTATGCTTGACAGCATGCAAAACGATGGCTGGATGCACCTGTCGACATTTCGTTCACTAACTGCCGTTTTGCTTCCGGTTTGATTTGTGCTGACTATGCGTGGCGAATTGGGTCGCCTTTCTTGAGAAGACAGATTGCTAAGAGTTGAAGTTGCCGCGGTCAAATTCTTCCTTTGGAAGTGGATTCTTCATGTAACACTAGGGAGCTGTGTGTGTGTGTGTGTGTGTGTGTGTGCGCGCGCTAGGCAGCCATGTGTGTGAATGGTCATAAAATTGGCTTGCCGTGGGGTTCTTAGCATGTAATGCTATGGGTTAGGTCGTTAAACATAGACACAGACGCATACACACACACACACACACACAGATCAGCTCATCTTAAGCATGCTTCATTGTCTGCAGTAGAGGTAAAATTGCTACGGCACATGTCTCTCTCTCTCTCTCTCTCTCTCTCTCTCTCTCTCTCTCTCTCTCTCTCTCTCTCTCTCT